CTGGCCCGCCTGGCCCTGACTGGGTGTTTCCCCTCAGCGAGGCCCTGGCCGCCTCCCTGGTGAGCAGCGTGAACCACGCGCTGGGGGAGCTGCTGGACATCTGGCAGCAGATCGGCATCAAGGAGGAGATGCAGCTGGAGCGCATGCAGGCCGTCAAGCAGCACATCGAGGTGAGGGGGGAGGACAGGGCTTGGGGCAGGGCCTGGGGTAACAAAACACAGGACTATGCAGCACTTTAAAGACCAACAAGATGGTTTATTGGGGGATGAGCTTTCGTGGGCCAGACCCACTTCCTCAGATCAAATAGTGGAAGAAAATGTCACAACTATATATACCAAAGAGATTCCCTCCCCCCCACCCCAAAGTGAACACCTATAAAAAGGGATGGGGGGGGGGGGGATATGCTGCTCAGCCTCCACCTCTGTGCCCCTCTCCTACAGCTCTTCAGGGCTGGAGAGGGCTGCCCTGGGGTCTCCAGGGGTCTCCAGACTTTTTAAGCGTGTGATCACTTATTTAAGTGCAATCCTGGATCTACCGCACACTCAAATGCCCTTGCCCCGCTCCTGTTCACACCGTCCTCCCACTTCACTTTTATCAGGCTGGGTGCAGGGGGACTTGGGGTTGGGGTGTAGGAGGGGGTTCAGGACTGGGATTGGGGTTTGGAATGCTGGCTCCAGCTGGGCACCGCTTACCACAGGTGGTTTCTGGGTGGTGGTGCAGTGGGGCTGAGGTAGGCTCACCCTGACCCTACATCACTCCCAAAAGCAGCCAGCAAACTCCCTCCATCCCTGCCCCCCTCTACTCTGTGGAGATGAGGTACAGGGTAGAGGGAGGGAGCATCCTGACAAAATCATCACTCCCTTCCTCTTCTTCCTGTGCCCTGCACAGCAAGCAGGAGGCTCCCAGGGATGAGGGGCACCTCCAAGGTGGAGGGCAGGGGCAGTGTGGCAGTGCAGAGAGGGGTGGATGAAGTGCCGGCACTTGACAGCCTCCCGGCCAAACCTGTCGGCCAAACCTGTCAGGATCACCTGTCAAAGGTTCCAAGATCTACTAGTAGATCAGGATCTACTGGTTGGTGACCACTGGTGTAAGCTGTGCGCTTATGCTGCCGCTGGAGTCAAATGCTGCCCAACTGATTAACAGAGCACCTACACTTAGGTTTTTTGTTTCTCCTGATGGCACACTTTGCACTAGGGATATTAACTAGTGTGTATTTGTGTAAACATGTAACCACTGGATTTTTTATTTTAGTAGTTGCAGATTTACGCTTGGTGGTGGTGGGTGGGCAGGCGGGAGCCAATGATCAGCTGCTGCCTACCTGCCTTCTCCCACTGCCTCTGATAGAGGTAGTAGTGTGGGAGACGGGTGGCTCTGTGGGAACAGATATTTGCAGGGAGCTGGCTTGAAAGCTGCTTCCCGAATGTACCCGCTCCTGCCTGCCTGCCCCCTCACCCCCTGTGCTGCTGCTTCTCCTACAGGCTGCAGTGTGGGAGTGGAGCAAGCCATTGGCTCAGTGAGAGCCCTCTATTGGTAATCAGCCTGGACAGTTGTATCTCACTTAAACTGTGCTTCTAACTCGGCCTGAAGTTAGTTTTTGGGCCAGGCTAAAGTAAATAGCCCTTGCAACTCTCCAAGCCATAGGCACTTACTTTTCCTCATTGAGCAAGGCCCCTGATAGTCTGCCCTGGCTGTGCCTCCACTTCACCCCTTGCCATGCCAATCTAATCCCTGGTCTAGACATGGCTCTGTTGATAGGCAAATGTTTCAGTCGGCCTAACTACCACCACCACCTCGGCAGGTGAATTACCTATAGCAACAGAAAAAAAAAACCTTACAGATTTTGTCTATGCTACAGGATTAGCATGCTGAAGCAATGCTCTAGGTTAGGGGTGGGAAACCTGTGGCTCCAGAGCCACCTGTGGCTCTTCAAAAGTTAATATGTGGCTCCTTGCATAGGTACGAAATCCAGGGCTGGAGTTACAGGTGCCAGCTCCTCACTGTTCAACCCCTAGCTCTGCCCTAGGCACTGTCCCCCTCCACCTTTTCCCCCTTGGATCCTGCCACTTCCCACCCTCTCCACTGAGCCTGTCACACCCATGCTTTCCCTCTTCAGTGCCTCCCACTGAGAGAGAGCTGATCACAGTGGGCAGAAGAAGGAGGTGCTGACCAGTGGGGCTGCCAGTTGATGGGGATGTGCTGAGAGTGTTGGTGGGGAGATGATCAGGGCCGGAGACATAGAACTGTTGCTCTTTGGCAACATGCATTGGTAAATTCCGTCTCCTTCTCAGTTTTAGCTTGGCCACCCCTGCTGTAGGCCATATAATGCAGACAAGCCCTTCGTGTGGAGTATTCCTGATACGGCCATGTAATGCAGACTAGCCCTTCGTGTGGAGTATTCCTGATACAGCAGTTTTCATAGTGGCAACCTCCAAACGTCAACCAGCAGTTACATAGACTGCCCAAATGACCACAGCAATTTACAAAATTATATTGATAGTTTAGTTGAATTTTGTTACTTTTATGTATGTTATATCCAACTTAATGATAATTTTGTATCCTTTCTTGGGTAGGATTTGTTGAATGAAATGATTATGGAAGAATGTCAGTTAAAGGAAAGAATCAAACACAACATTGAACGTCGGCAGAAGGAACTAAAGATACTAAGAAATGAACTTTCATTAGACCCCTACCTGGTAAGATGGTTCTGTCAAGCATAAGAAAACCCAGTCTACCAGTTGACTTAAAGTTTACATTTGCTGCTTAAAATTGTTCATATATGGATTAAATATTACCATATAGGCGGTCTTTTGCTGTAGGCTTTCAGTGTTGCTATTTATGCACTTTGAATTTTCTATATGTAAGTTTTGATGTTTGTTTCCTTCCACTCCCCCATACAGTTTTCATAGGAAGTCTAAAGTTGGTCTCAAGTAGGGATGTCGGATATCGTGTATTTTAGTAATCCTGTAGCCACAACAGTTTTTAGCAGTTACACAATTGCTAAAATACTCCATGGGGGTGGAGCTGGCAGCCAGCGTGCTCCCTGCTCTCAGACCCACTCCCAGGAAATTCCCTACCACCATGCACTGCGGCCTCTGTATCAGGGAGGTGGAGCCTGTCCCTGAGGAGAATCTGTTCAAAAATCTGTGCTCTGTGCAGATGGGCACCTGCATGTTGCCTCTTGTGAAGACTAGGTTGCAGCAGCCCATGTCCATTGGGAAAACAAGCTCCCCTTGGACAGAGGCTGCTCTGGCATCACATGGAGCAGCCTCCCTCCACAGCAAGCCCAGAGGAGTCAAACCTAAAAATAAGAGATTAAAGCATACTAGTCATCAGACTTTTTGGAAAAAAAACCCAGAAATTCTGGACATAGCACCACTGCTTCCCTTTCTTCCTTGTTTGATCTTGATCCTCCTGTAAAACCTGGGTTGGGGCTAGGTATCACTGTCTGTCTGCAATAACCTGGTGGTCTTGTATGTGCAGTCTGGCTGCTTTCTTTTAAAAGTGGAGTGCTTCCCTAATAGTCTTTGTCCCCCTTTTGCCCATACACATTGTCATGGGAGTTCCAAGTCTCAGCCTGTTGCCCACACTCCATTGTCTTCTGTGCAAAATGAAAGTCAATGGCCCCTTCCATTGTTCTAGTTGGAGAGAGTCTTTAAATTATTTAAAGCTGTATCATGGTGTTTCTTTTCTAGATGTCAGACCCTGCTACAAAATGCTGTAATCCATAAAGGAGGTTGCAGCATAAAATATAACTCTCTGAAACAAAACCAGGTTCATGGTTTGATAGACATAAATCTCAACTTGTCACAATGTGCTGTTAGGATTTTGTTAACACTTTTCAAGATGCTTCCTTGTCCAGTCTTCTGTAACACATGATTCTATTTAACTGGCTCGTTCTTGAAGGTTTGTCTCCTGCTCACTTGAAGGAATTGATTGAAATTTTGGAAGCTGTGGGAATGGGCCTGTCTATGTGATGGCTTGCAAGTAGGGGAGGCAATGGTCTAAGGAAACTTTGTCAGTCTTTAGGACAGGCAACTAAGACCTGAGAAGACAAGAAACTTCTGTTTGCTGAAGTTACTCTTATCCCTGAAGTTCATGTATACCATGTACTGCTTTGCATAAGGCTACTTTTTTGAGATGATGCCACAACTAAATATGACAAGGCATTATGTATCCTTATGATTACAAAAATGCTTCAAAAACATTACAGGCTGAAGAGGGTTTGTCCATCCTTCAGATGGAGAAAGAGCTTCGATTGGCAATAGAAGCTGCAGTCAAAGAAAAAAATGAGAGGCTGGAAGAATTGAAGGAGCTTCAGCAAGAAGATGAAAAGCTCTGTACAGAGCTTTTCGCCACTCCTTATTATATACCCTCTGGCAGTATTCCGAGTCGTTCACAACTGGAAGAGTTAAAAGAACATGTTAGGACACATTCAGAGGAAAAGGTATGTAGTGTCTTCTACAAAAAAATCCAATAAATAGAATGTGATTTGGGGCTGCAGAGTTTTCCACCTCTGCATTTTAACTGGAAAAGAATGCTCATTGCAGTGTCCTCTGACCACCCAGTGTACTTTAATCCTGATATCTCTCTTTCTTTAAAGGCATTGTACAAGGAAATGTCACTTTCTTAGTTCTTTCAAAGTTATGAAAATAATAGTGATTGATATTTTAAAATGTGTATATGAACTACAACTTCACACCAAGACTAAAATGTTAAATGTTGTTCCAGTGAAGTGTTACCTTTTCATCTGTTGTAATTTGCAGATATGACTTGGATAATGGCATACTCTAGAGCAGGGGTGGGGAACATTTTTAGGATTTGGGGCTGCATGCTAGTTAGAAGCAAAAAAAAAACCCTCACCACTCATTGATATGGCCCTTAAGAAGAAGAGACTCTTCCCCACATTTCTCTTGCACACCAGAGCTTAGGGGGGTCCAAGCTAGTAGATTTTGTGTGCTCCAGTTCCATGGAATGGCGAGGGGAAGGCTGGTGCACCAGCATAGCCTCCCAATGCTAGCAAGGAGCTCCAAGTCTTGGGGGCCTTAGGTTCCCCACCTCTGCCCTACAGCTTCTGTGTAATGCTTTAAATTGTAAATAGTGTTGGAACCATATTGACTATCAATCCATACTCAGAGTGGCATTACCTAAACTGTCAAAATTCTGTTGCCTTGACATGGACTCTGTCTAAAGATCTTCAGTATTAGACAATATGCTAACCAATTATCTATAAAATGCTTGCTTTCTAATTTTCCAATAGAAACAACGTCTGGAAGTTTTTCTCAAACTGCAAAACGAAATCAGGCAATATAATGAAGAGATCGGACATGCACCTGATTCTACTCTTGAAAAAGAGGTGCTCTCTGATGACGAGGAATCCTTTTGTCTTACTAATAGGAACATTGAAGCTCTTAAAATACTTGTTGATCAGGTTAGATTTTTTTTGAGAGACTGTAAGAGGAAATATAGTTATCCCGGGCAACGAGGATGTACTCTGTCTTCTACAGCCATCTAGTGGCAACATGCAAAATAGTATTTGTTAAATAAGAGTCTCAGAGTGCAACTAAATAAAATTGACCTAACTTTGTAGTTTAGACATACCATTAAGAACATAGGAATTCTTCTGCAAAACTGTTATAATTAAGGATGTGAAATGTTTATCCATTATGGCTAATGGGTGATGCTTACTGGTTCTGGTTTACCAGTGTGTGTTGGAGCAGTTCCCCTGTCTGCCGGGGCAAGGGGTTGATCTGGGTGGCGGAGGCAGTGGTACAAGGCGGTGGCTGCTTGAGCTGGCTGGGGGAGCTGATGGAGTGGTGAGATCCCACTTAGTTAACCTAACATTTAACTGATTAACCAGGATTTTATATCCCTAGTAATAATCTACTATTAAGTATTCTGTCTGGCAGTGACCAGACCTAGATGCTTCAACAGAAAATGAAAAAACACTTGAGCCTCACTTGCAACACTCACCTGCTTTGTTACGTTATATCTCCTTTGGTCCTCTTCTGCTTCCTGTTCCCTGATTTACTCTCCTCTCCACTCTGTGATCCGTCTTCCTGATCATAACCTCTCTTTTGTCCAAAAGACTGTCAGATCTTGTTCTCTCTTGTCTACAGTCTCCTCCTTCACTCTGTAGTCCTGGCTTTCCAATCAACTTTCTGCATGTCCAAGACCCACTACGTGCTGCGCTTGTCTCAACCTTAGACAAAATGCATAATCTGTCTGCCCACCAGTTCACTCTGTGTCTATTCATCAATCCCTATCCTCCCCTGAATTCAAACCCAATGTAACCTCAGTAAATTAAACTTTTGAGCCCTATGTGGAAACATATTTCTACCCGTGGGAAGAATCCCATGAATCAGCAGATATGGATCTCTAATCCAGGAGATGTAGCCAAAGGAGAGGAACATGGTGCCACCACTCCCACCAGCCAGTGTCCTCAGCTGGCAGCTCCTCCTGGTCATACGGCTGTACCACCCCTAGCCTTGCTGGCAGCAGGGTTGTAGGAGCCCAGACAGAAGACATGGCTGGAATAAACTAGACCAAAGGCGGGGAACCTTTTTTGGGTCCGGGGCCACACACAAGTGACAAGCCAAATAACTCCTCACAGATGTGGCTCCCAGTTCAGAAACAGGAAAAAGACACTCCCTCAACTCCAGCACCAGAGGGGTGCGAGAAGGCACCAACCTTTAGGGCTTATCCCAGGTCTGGATGAACTCTTGTGGGCCCAAGGCTGGTAGATTTTGGGGGGAGGGACAGGGACTGTAGGGCTTGGGAGTAGGGCAGACAATGGGTTCAGCAAATGGGAGGGGGCAGGCTGGGGATGAGGGGGCAGAAGTGGCCTAGGAGATCCTGGTCAGGAAAGGAGAGAGGGTGGTGGCCAATGGGAGTGACGGGTGGTGGTGCCTGCAGAGAGCACTTCCCTGCAGTATGCTGAACCCATGGGCCTAATCTGGCCTGTGGCTTGTGTTGATCAGACCCTCAAGACTCCAGGGAGGAAACCTTGCAGGCCAGATCCAGCCTGTGAGCTGTAGGTTCCCCACCCCTGAATTAGACCATTGGATAATAAAAATATTGTAAAGTGTATAGTTTGCATCAAAATAGTAACCACTACTTAACTGTACAAATCCTGCATGCTCATTTTTTCTCGCTGCAATGCTCTAAGAACAATCTGTCTTCCTTTTTTCACTAGTCTGTGCATTATTTCTCTTCTTACCCAGTAATTGTGGGTTAGTTTAGCCTGCTATTATATTGTTAGAAGAACACTGAGTAATTACAACATTAAGTTGAATATCCTCTCTGAACTACATTTACTTTATACTATCATATTATGTGCCCTGTAGTTGCAGTTGAAAAAAGAATCTCTAATTTCAACACGGGAGGCTCTCAAGGAGAAGGTACAACTTCTATGGAATAGATTGTGCTGGCCAGTAGAGAAGCAGGAACAATGTAAAATGAATATTGAAGGTTCCATTACTCAAGAAGTTACCATGGTAAGATTTCACAGCCTGTTTTTCATCACGTTACTTTCCCTGCTGTAGTTCTAGGTTTGTCACAGAATTCAACTATATAAGAAAAGCAATGTTAACACCGAGAACTCACTTTGAAGACAAACCTTTTATAGAATCAGACCTTATGTTCACGGTTCTCCTTAAAGTAGTATTTTGTCCTGAGAGTAGAACTTGTACTACTGTTGCTTTCAAATTGTGGTTGAAACTCTGGCTTCTGAAGTCCAGAAGCACTTGAACATGACTTTGCCTTTTGTTTTCAGAGTTCCTTATAGGTATTGGTTAAAATTCCAGATAAAAATCATTATTTAAAACAAGGTTTTCTTAATTAGGTTTACTTATCTGTTAGTAGTCCTTTACTGTTTTAAACTTTCTCTACTAGTGGGAAGAAGAGCTGCTACGTCTAGAAGAGCTGAAGAAAGAGAATTTGAAGGGAATGATTGCAGAAATAAGACAGGAGCTTAATACTTACTGGGAGAAATGTTTCTATAGCACAGAACAAAGATCAGCCTTTCTCCCATATTATGATGGTAAATCTTGACTGCACCTGTCACTCTTACATTTCATGCATAACAATTTATGGGTATAGACTTGGAGGCAAGAATGGACAATTACAATCATCTAGTCTGACCTCTTCCATATTGCAGTAGTAATCCCATAACTTCTGGCTGAGTTACTGAAACCCTCAAGTAACAGAGAATCCACCGCAAGTGACCCATGCTGGAGAAGAAAGCAAAAAGTTCCAATGATTTCTGCCAGTCTGACTTTAGGAGAAATTTCTTCCCAACCTAAATGCAGAAATTAGTTAGATCCTGAGAATGAGACCCACAAGTTATACCTAGAAAAGAATTCTCTATAGTAACAGACCTTCCCACTAGTGTCCTCTCTCTTCCCAGTAGAGATTTGCCAATAACAGTCACAAATGGGCCAAATGTCATTGTAGGCAACCTCTTCCATACCATTGTCTACACAAGCTTGATACTTTCCGTCTTGAAATAAGTTGGGTTTTTTTGCCCCACTTTTCCTTGGAAAATCTGTGCCAGAACTTTCCTCCTCTGATGGTTAGGCCCTTTTTATCTAATTTCAAGCCTAAACTTGTTGATGGCCAGTTTATATCCATTTGTTCTCGTACCAAATTGGCCCTTAACTTGAATAATTCCTCTTCCTTCCTGGTGTTTGCTCTCTAAATGTAGAAAAAGACATATTTACAAGGCAAGTTCCTTAATTTTCTACTTGTGAGGTAGGTACTCTGTTCCTTGGATCATTCCAGTAACCCTTCTCTGTACCTGTTTCAGTTTGAATTAATCTTTCTTAACCATGACCAGAATTGCACATGGTATTCCAGATGAGATCTCACCTGTGCTTTGTTTAATGGCAATACAGTCCCTTATCTCTACTGGAAATACCTTGAATGATTCATCTTGTGATGGCATTAGCCTTTTTTTATGGCCATGTCACATGGGGGATTTGAAGTCCTCTTGTGAAACTGAAAGGAGTGCTGGAAAAATATAGTGGGAGTGTTGAGAGTCCTTGAAACAAATTGTAAACTATCGATGTTAATGGAAAGCAGTTCAAGCCAGGGTTGCAGCAGCACTCAGTTCTAGCACCTTTGGCCAAACCAATACATCCAAGTCTTTGCCTTCTCTGTCATTTCCAATTGATATCTGCAGCTTATAGCAAAAATTCTTGTTAGTCCTCATATGTATGATCTTGCAATAGCAAACTTCATTTACTCCAGAATTGCCTACAATAGTGGCCTTGTACCATTAGTAACCTCAAGAGCTGATTTCCCTATTTGTTTTCTTTTTCTATACACAAAATAAATGTTCAGTGATGACTTTTGATTAAATAGTTGGTTTCCCCAAACTGATCAGCTTAAGTGTCATACTGTAGCTTTATAAGCCTTATTACTCCAGAGTTCATTATAACAATCCAATATCCTTATTGGCCAGTTGGAAAACAGCACACACACCCAAAAAACCCAACCCCTAAGCAGGATAGGCCTGAAACAGTGGACTTTTGGAATGAAAACATCCTATTTATTGGGGGAAGAGGCACTATTTGAAACTGTGCCCAGAGTCAGACCTTGGCAGTGTTTCAAATTAGCAACAAAACCAGGGAAGCTATGTTAGGTACATCCTTCAAGGGTTCGCTTGCATGCATTATTACTAAATTACTTGCGTTATTTAAATTACTAGAGTTTTGCCCAATATGCAACTAGTATTTAAAAAGCTCATGCCATATCTGTATTTGAATAACTTTTCAGAAATATAACACCATAAATAATAAACAAACTTTTCAATTCCAGATGACTTTACAGAAGATCTGTTGAAGCAACATGATGAGGAAGTTATAAAAATGAAACTCCTTTATGAGAAAAATAAGCCTTTATTTGAAGGTGTTGTTAAGTGGGAAACAACCTGGAAACAGTTCATAGAGCTGGAGGTACCAATTACAGGAAATTAGTTTACACGATTTCTAAAGAGGAATAGGCTGATAAACATGATCAGCAGAGAAAGGCAGTTGGATTGTGGGAAAGGCAGTTGGGGAAACTGGGTCAGATACATTTACAATCACTTTCAGGGAGCATCTTATTCCCATTAAAGATGGGCAATCTTAGGGTAGCATTCTACTGGAAGATCTAGCATTTGGCTTCATGATATCAATATAACCCCAGTGGTATGTCAGTCGTATTTATCCCGTTCTAACCTGAAGGGAAGCTGAATGACGTGTCAGTGTTTGAGACATGGCAACATTTGTTCCAGTGCAAGTTGGCATCCAAAGCATTTTGGGTTGTTGGTTTTGCAATACCTGCTCAGGGATGTCAATGTTCCCTCTGATCTTTTCCCACCCCTGAACAAAATGAATGTTATGTGCGCCAATATTGAGATGATGAACAATACATCACCTTCATATTGGTACTCAACACCATTCACGGGGCGGAGGTGGAGCCAAAAGACCCTGTGTGGGAAGAGGCTTAAGCAGAGGGTGGGGGGGGGTGCCAGTTTGGGGGATTTAGGGGTTCAGTGTACAGATTGCCTCAGCCCAAGAGGACTATCCCCAGTCCTCTCTCACTGCTGAAGCTTGGGACCAGGTGAGAGGTGCTTCTCCCTGTCCACCACAGCTCCAGTGGATGCAGTAAGGAACATTTTTCCCTGAGCTTGGGGCATGTCCAGATTAGGTTGGATGAGTGCCACAGAAGAGGAACCTTATCCCAGGGCAGCTCTGCATTAGGTGTGATGGCCAGGGGAGAGGCACCGTCTTCCTTGGCCACATCATGGAGCAGCTGCGGTGCAGGAGGGTGGGGGGAAATAGGTGAGCTCTATTCTGGGCCTGCCAGGCAGAGGCATACTATGTGCCTAGCCTGAGCCCCTTTGTGGGGCTTGTTAGGCAGGGAACTTAGGTGTCAGTACACGTTTTGGCAAACAACTGAGGTGAGATCTTAATCGTTTCATAGTGCAGTTAAGAATCCTTTATTAAACTGAACATATAGAAAATACTATTTTCTCTCTTTCTTGGGGAAAAGTGTTGTCAATTAATATTGTTGTTAAAAGACCTTTTCTCCTTTAAATTTTCTTGTATGATTCAGTGAGGCAACCTGTAGCCACTCCCCATCATCTGGCCTCGAACAATTTCCAGCCATTTTAGTTTCATATTGATATAAATATTATGTGTTAGTGATGAGGAAATGTCTCTAATTCTTTTGTAGCCAAGTAAATAACTCCCAAATCATCATTGATGGTCTCTTCAGAGAAAGGTGTAATTATGCTGATCATTCCTGAAATAGTGGATTCAATAAGTGAAGTTTCTCTGGCATGAAGTACAGAATATCATATTATGTGGGAAAGTGTAATTAATTGTATTACTATGTGGTGTTGCTCTTGAATGCTCTTTGCCATTCTAGAAGGCAAAAAAAAAAATCTTGATTGTATGTGTTGATATTTCAATAAATGTATTTTGTTCAGAAAAAATCCACAAATCCAAACCGACTGGTTAACAGAGGTGGTACTTTACTGAAGGAAGAGAGAGAGCGGTCAAAGATCCACAGGCTCTTAACAAAGGTAAGGTCTACCACCAATAACATGTATGCACCCTCGAAATTGAGTAAAAATTCTGTCGTTCCAATATCTTATGGGTAATCTTGTCTGAGTTGATGGACTACAATTTGCTGTAATAGATCTCTCTAAGTAGGCTGGATGCTGAGTTAGTTCATTTGCCATGTGATGGATATGATTTCCGTAAGACTCTTGAAATTCTTAGGCTTAAAGGATACAAACTAAACTAAATGCAATTTCTTCTAATGATAGGCACCCTGAAACATACTTGACTGTGCACAAACTTCAATTAGTTCATGTTTAATGTTTATGAACCTCTTTTAAACATTTAAAAATCAGCAGCCTACAAGTGTCATCCTTCAACCCGTTAAACTGCCTGTCTGCAATACTAGTCACTTGTTCCAGGAGTCAAGATGAAAGTTAATTAAATGTCACTTCGCTGGGTAACACTTTGTAAAATATCTGTCTTGCACTCCTTAAACTTCTGATGCTTGCCCTTAATCCGTGTTACCTCGAATGGCTCAGTGTCTTTTTCTATCTCAGACTTCTTGGCGTCTTTAAAAAAAGCTGGCACAACATAAGACAAAGAAACAGGCCTGGAACTGTGCTTTTAGACCCCTAGTGAGGCAAGACTTGTTGCATACACGTACACAGTGCTTTTTTTTTTGTTTGTTTGTTTAAAAAAAAGGGGGGGGTGCTGGTACGTGGCAGGGGGCTGTGCCAGGGGAAAGCAGCGTGGCGCAAATGCTCCCAAAAAGGTGCCAGTACGCTGTACTGGTGCATACCAGCACAAAAAAGCACTGTACATACATATATATTTACGTGAAACTGCCACATAGCCGGTGGAAAGAGAAAAAGTTCTAAAATAGTCAAGTGTAACACTACTAGTTAACAGGTTTTTAAGCAAGTGCAGTACCTGAAAGAACTGGTTTTTACCTTTCTGAAATAAGCCAGGCACCAACCTGACTGTCCTAAGTTGGTCAAATGTATAACAGAATACACAGAATTTTTATTTATATCATTTTTTTTTCATTTGCAAACTTAGTTGGGAGAAGACCTGAAAAGAAGCATTGAAATCTGGGAAAGAGAACAAAGCTGTAACTTCTCAATCAAGGGTCTGAGATTCCTGGATTACATGGCAAATCAGTGGGAACAGCATGCACTTAAAAAAGAACGGGAGAGGGTGAGGTTTTTTTCTTAACGCTAAAACGGGTTGGTGTTATACTACAGTAGAATTTCAGTGTTATGAACACCAGAGTTATGAACTGACCAGTCAATCATACACCTTGGGAACTAGAAAAGGCAGCCTCAGAGACACAACACAAATACAGTACAGTACTGTGAATAAAATAAACTACTAAAAAATATAGGGCTTTTTTTTAAAAGATTTGACTAAGTAAGGAAACTGTTCCTGTGCTTGTTTCATTATAATGGGGTTAAAAACAGCATTTTTCTCCTCCACGGTAAAACTTCAAAGCTGGGTTGAGTCCATATTCAGTTGTAAACTTCTGAAAGAGACACCATAATGTCTTGCTCAGAGTTACATTATCCATTTCTGAGGTGTTCATAACTGGAGTTCTGTTGTACTTAGCCAGAATGAAGAATTGTTAGAATTAATTCCATCTCCAGAGGCCTTCACAAATAAGTGATGGAAGAGCTTTGATGGGATAACATTTACCCAAATACAGAGTGATAGGCAAACATCTGTGTGAATAGCATGTTGGTGCTCTTTTTTTTAAGAATATAAATTATGCCTGTGCTTACATCCTTGAATGTTATCTTAGTTTTCAATGTTTTTTGGATGGTGTGTCTGCTTCCTGACAGGAGTGAAAGCTCAAGCAGGAAAAATTCTTCAGGTAGTGCCTTTTTATGTTGCTGGCTCCAGTTGCTGAGTGTGTTAGTGGGCTGCAACAACTTCTTGTAGTGCCTTAGGGGACGGAAAGTCAAGATTTTCCATAGAGAACCAAGAGCTAGAGCACCTACAACTGGGGAAGGTGCTAAGAATCCTGAGTTAAGCTGGCTTGATTTGAGTCTGCATAGTGTATTGTGGGTAAATGAGTGTGTATTGTGGGTAAATGAACAGTAAACTAAGGCTGTGAGTAATCAGTGTAGGTGTGTCTAGAGTATACAGGGTTTTGTCGACAAAAGTGGACTTTGATGTTGGCAGGGGAGCGTCCAGACTAGCGCGCTGAGTGGACAAACAGCTGATCAGCTGTTTGTCAGCTCAGCGCGGCAGCCATGTAAATTTAAATGAAGCCGCGATCATTTAAATCGTGGCTTCATTTGATTTTGCCTATGTGTCTAATCTACATGCCTCTGACGACAGAGGCATGTAGTCTAGACACAGCCTATTAGTCGACAAAACTTCTGTCGACAAAAGCCTGTAGTCTAGATGTACTCTGTGGGTGCTGCACCTCAGGCTTATAATTATCAAGCGTATGAGCTCAAGTCCCACAGATTTGCACTGTCATTGCTCTGTACTTATCATAGTCAAGTCATAATTGGAAAACTGTAATGAGTTAGTACACTCCTTCAGTATGCCTAGTAGTGAAATATAACTCATCTCTTTTGTGTTGCAGTTAACGAAGAAACCCATAAAAAGGCATACTGGCTCAAATACTCCAACTCCCTTTAAGACAAGGAAGGCAAGTGTATGGTCTTTTGAAACACACAGTAGAAGCTCAGAGTTGCAAACACCAGAGTTAGAAACTTGCCAGTCAACCACACACCTTCTTTGGAACCCGAAGTGCTCATTCAGGAAGCAGCAGTGACTCCTCTCCCTTCCGCCTACCCCCCTCCCTCCACACACACTCCTCCCAAAAAAGCAATATTGTTACACATTAATTCCTTTTTTTTTTTAAATGGGAAAGTTTTTAAAAACAAGACAAGGTAAGGAATTTTTCTGTGCTTTCATTTAGATTAAGATGGCTAAAAGCAACACTTCTTTCTGCATTGTAATTTTTCAAAAGTGTGTTAAGTTGATGTTCAATTTTAAACTTTTAAAAGAAGAAACATAATGTTTTCTTCAGGGTTACAAACAACCTCTGTTCTTGAGGTGTTCATAACTCTGAGACGAGCACATCTTAGGGAAAAGGATCTTGTGGAATTCCCTTTTCCTTGCTTCTGCATTAATTTTATGCAAGTAACTTGCAGGTGCATTCTAAGTCAAATTGCCTTACTTCAGTTGATGCTTTCCCAGCTAACTTTGTTACTTGTCTCTCTTTTTTCCTTCATCTTCCAGAATAAGGCAAAGGCCACTGTGTCAACCTTTTTTTCTAGTTGCTGTTACAATTGGTATATTCTGTTTTAATTTATAGATACTTTTATAATCTTTAAATTTAAAAAGCTGCAAAAGTATTTAAAAATCAGAGTAGCACTGCATCATTTATGGAGGGAAATCATAAAACTTCATTTCCCCCTTCATTAGGGTAATGAGTTTGAAAGTCTCTAAAACTAGGTCCCCATATTTAGGGGAGAACTAGAGTTCATTCTTAGCAACTCTCAGCCAGCAGGTATTACTGTTCTGATAGCAGTGCAGAGTGAGGTTCATTGATTTTTGTTGAAGATGAGTGAGCTAGAAAAGGGACAGACTTACTGGAGACATTCAAGTTGTCTGGAAGGACTGGTGGCTTAAAGAAGCAACACAAACTTAATATAGTGTAGATTTGAAGTGGTAGGAAGCCTGTAGTGGATGGGGCATCGGGCATAATGTATCTGGAGAAAAGTTGTATAGCGGTTCTTGTAGCTAAACAAAACTTGGCACACCTTCTAGAAACTACTCTGAAATGTTGTCATCTCTATAGATCTTGCTGGAATTAAAGGTCAGCATGCCTTTTACCATCCTAATTTTTGTGCATTTAATGCGAGAAATCTGAAGCATTTCATTTTTTAATCTTTTAGTTGAATACAGTCACAAATGTAACTGTGCTGCGGGCAGCCAGCTGCACCAACCTTACCAACACAGGCACATGTGCTGCAACTGTTTCCAAAACGCCCATTCCAGTTTGTAAGGTGAGTAAAGCCTGGAGGTTTATTCTGCTGTTCTGGGCTCACAAGAAGGACTTTTATTATTGAGGAAAAAGTGATACTATCCCAGTTATGTAGGGCTCTTGCTCTGGAAATTTGTATATACATGAAACTTGAATATGAGCTACAAAAGTGTGAACTTATTTTTCTACTTTTAACAGCCAGGTAACTTTTTTGGCAAAAGTGTTCAGTGCTTACAAAGCTATACTAGAAACCAGCTGTTGTTCAGTTAAACATCAACTTTAACTCTTTCAAAGAGAAGGCTACAAATAGTTAACCACTGGTTATGAAAACTTCAAGTTCATCTTTAAGTTGATTTCTCTTGAAGTTCCAGTGTTACCTTTCTTTCCTTGTAATATTCCTGGAGATATTTAAGAGCAAGTTAGATAGACACCTGTCAGGTATGGTCTAGACTAGCACTTACTGGCCATGGCAGTATAAATGGGAGCAGCATGGTTAAAACACCTTAATTAGGTAAGAATTGCTAGAAGTCAAATATTTAATGCAGTATAAGGGAATTTAACACCAAAGATCTGATCACCCAGGCCATTTTGTTGATGCCTTTTTTATGGGGCTCATTATAAAAAGAATGGAAATAAGGCCTTAGAGTTAAAACACTAAAATGTCTCAACCTGGGTTCAATTCCTAAATTTGTTTGCAGCTATATTCTATGACCTTGGGCAAGTTATTAAATAACTTTGCCTCCATTGTCATCTGTAAAATGTGGGGCTGTTTTCTAAAATAAGGATATTAATGATATAAAGGCCAAGTCACAAAAGTTTAAACTATCATTAAACACACATTAACAATTAGAAGAAAAATACTAAAGTAACTGAGTTGGTTTTCCACTTGATGATTCTACATCCTCTCTGGCTACATCTACACTGAAGGCTTTTTGTGTAAGAACAGGTGTTCTTGCACAAAAACTTAGTGTCTAGACTGCACGCGTGTTCTTGCACAAGTAAACTTACAGTCAGGCATCAGAACAGAGGGCTTCTTGTGCAAGTTATTCCTCTCCCCACGAGGAATAAGCCCTCTTGTGCAAGAAGGCAGTATGGACAGGCAACAGAGGTTTCTTGTGAAAGAAACTCCTATGGCTAAAATGGCAATCGGAGCTTTCTTGCATAAGAGAGTGTCCACACTGCCATGGATGCTCTTGGGCAAAACCATATAGCAGTGTGGACATATTCTTGCACAAACATTTTTGCACAGAAACTCTTGCACAAAAAGCCTGCAGTGTAGACTTAGCCTTAGAGATTTGGGCCTTTTTAATCAAGATTGTACCTAATCTGTGGTATAAAAGCTCACTAGATATAATGCTTTACATTTTGCAGATGCTATCTAAATGCACACCACCATCTCCCCCACAGCGCATGCCATTACAAGAGAACAAGCAAGCCAGCAAATCGGACAATCAGATCAGCTATTTAAACTTCACAGTATGTCTGTCTTTTGTCTGAGTTCAAAATAGTCTAATTTTAGAGCGGGGAATAGAAAACTAACTAGATTTGGATGAAATTAGGTGGTGGGCATATAACTGCACTCTTGGCTATTTTTCAGTTTACCCAAGGGATGGGAAACTAGATCCTTAAGTTGTATATTTCTGTTAGTAATGTAATAAATTCTATGTTAATTATTGTTTGGAGAACTCTCAAAGCAGTTTGGGGTTATTCAATCCATATTGAAAGTAAGACTCAAGGTTCCACACCTAACCAAGGGCTAATAAGGAGTAACAGGATGCTAGGAAGAAAAGGTAGCTGTAGATGGGAATTTTGACTGCATGAAACTTCTAGAGCAGATTTACAGACTGGCTAGTTCAGTTGGCAGTGCATGAGACTCTCTTAATCACGAGGTCAGTGCCCTTCTGTTTACATTCTCATCCTGCCAGGATCTTAGGCAGGAAAAGTCTCTTGATGTTGAGAAAACTAGGACTTGATAGAGTTAAAAACAAACTAGATAGTATTGATGGACCTAACCTCCATTAATTTTATTATCCAGGATGAATAGTAATGGTGTCCCTGAGCCTCCGTCTATCAGGGGCTGGAAATGGGTTACAGGAGAGCGATCACATGATGATTACCTGCTCTGTTCACTCCCACTGGGGCATCTGACCCAATCTGGCTGTTTTATTATCTGTCTTGATATCTCAAACAGTTTAAAGATATCTTTCTGGTGAAAACTACTTCAGTCTGGCTATTTAGGGGATAATGAACTTCAGTTCAAAAGAACTGAAACTGAATCCTGGGAGCAAGGCAGCAGGCACTGAGCTCACTACTTGGGAAAAGGGTTGGTGCAAGGATGTTACGGTCAGCTCTAGTGGACAGACTGGGCTGTGTTAGCAGTGGGATGAAAAGGAAGCAGAATTGCTGTTGGGCCAGGCTGGAATATATGGTATTGGTCGCCATGTTACTGCATCCTCAGCTGCAGAGTTGGCTGATGTCTAGGTGGTGGGGGTGCGGAACATAAGGAAAAGCTTAAAATTCTGTAGCTGATGATTTTAACAGCTGTATTAAAATATGAGGATCAACTGTAAGTTCTTAAAGAAGGACAAAAATCATCAGCTACAGAATTTTAAGCTTTTCCTTATGTTCCGCACCCCCACCACCTAGACATCAAAATATTAGGGAAGGGAAGTAAGGCAGAGTAAACTTGAAAGAAGCCGAGACTTGTTTTTACTAAGACAACTGAGGTATGGTAAGGCAGGAAGATGGGGTATGTTGTCCTACCATGCTGTGGTGATGTCTTGTTAAAATCTTCATAACTCTTTAAATATTTTCAGAAGGAACTTTTGAAGCAAACAAGGAATACCGATGACGTATTCAATTCTACAGTAAATGAAAACACATAATAAGGATTCTGCCGCTTTATGCTCTGAAAAGCCCAGCACTAATCCCTTTGTGGAACTTGCAAGACTTGGGAGAGAAGACTTGCACTATATTTATAATGCCTCTGCTATGACTAACTCTTGCTAGGAAAACATTATTTTCATCTGTCATTGCACTTAGAAGTAATATATGTTGAATTAGTGAAGTCCACTCCAAGCAAACTTCTGTAAGTCTTAGTGTACAGATCAGTATTTATATTTTCTGTCTTTATTGGTGTGCCTGCATGTGTGAACTGGTTCATTTACTGATGCGCAATTGTTTTTTCTAGAGCATTAATGTAAAGCTTTTTTAAAACAATGTTAATATTAAAGCTTTTGAACGGTCTTACTCTTATGATGGTCAAGAGACTTGAATGTTTCATGCATTTGATTTATTCTGTTGTCCAGCATTAAGCAATTAGTCTCAAACCGTGATGCTTTTTAAGCAAACCTATGTAGAGAATTATGAAGCTAGAATTTTTTAAAATAGTTGATTAGTGATTGTAGCCATGTCACCTCTGAACTGTTCATTGCAGTTGTTTAATTTCTTTGACTTTATAGTTTTAATAGCCGCCTTTAACTGAAAATGTCCCTTCACAGTAACGAAGGAACTGTCTAACCTGCCCTGAAGAGATCTGAATAATGTTGTGATTAGAATAAAAACAATGTTTTTATAAGTGTTTTTAAATATTTCTTGAGGTGTATATAGTGTGATTCTGAAAAATATTTGTGTTGTGCTAAAAGTTAAAATTCTTAAATAATAAACTGTACTAATTAAGATGTCTGTTTCAATGGGATACCACTTCCTTGTTTTGGAGATGTCATGTGTTCTACAGTGTTTACAAACCACATTTTGTTGGTTTGGAGGCTGTTTTGGAACTAAGAGAACAGTAGACATTCATAAATTTAAAACTAATTTCTGTCTGAGGAGGAGACATTTTGTTGTGCATTAGTAAACTTTAAAAACAGATTTGGAAATTGATATTTAATTGCAATGTTGTGAAATTTGCTTTTCTTGAGGTAGAATACTTGATTAATTTATCACGAAGAGACATGAAACAGTTCATAGTATTGATAGAGCAATAGCTTGTGGGCTCCTACTGTTGTGTACTTTTCAATAGTGGTAGAATTCTTCTACTTGTCTGTCTGCAGGCAATGCAATTATATCTGTTAGAGGAAGCGACTTCTTTACTACAACATAAGTAAACATTAATCAAGCTCCGTAATTGTTTGAAATAGTACATGCTTTTTACAAAACAATGCAATCTCTGCAAAGACTTCCAGTCACTAAGCCCTAGTGCTTGGGAATATGTTTCAGTGTTTACCATTAAGAACTTTGTGTTTTGATTTTTGTTAACTTCTACTTCCAGCCCCTGGATTTTGTTGTTCAGTCTGTTTTATCAGAGCTCTCCTTGGGTAGGTACTCAAACCAGGATAAAGTTGTCCCTTAAGGAGCTTTGTGTAATGTGTTTTGGTGGTAAAGTATGTTTTTTCAGACCACAAATCTGTTGAGGTTTTCTTGGAACTCTTGCTAGTCTTTTTGCATCCTTTTTAAAACATGTACAACAAGAATGCTACTTAGGAGACCAGACCTGTACTATTACGTCCTGTCTCCTAATCCCAACATCTGGGTAGTTGGTAAAAATAGTTTTGTAAAAAGCATAAATGTAGGGTTGCAAACAGGGATGTAAAAGAATAATCAACTAGCCCATAAGCATAAGCTGGGCTATAGACCTCTGGCTGCTGGGCCGCCATGGTTCTGGGGGCCAGAGCTGGGGTACACAGCTCCTGCTGAGGCCAGGGGCGGGCTCTCCTGCCCACGATGGAAGAGTGCTTCCCTGTGCAGCAGGAGGACTGCACAGAGCTGCTCCTTGTGGCCCTCCCACTGCACAGGATAGCGCTCTTCCAGGGCAGGGGATGCTGCAGCCCACGTACCTGTGCATATTTTCGTATGGGCACCAAGCTATGATGTTGGAGCCCACCAGATCCTGACTGGCACATAAGAGCTGCAAGGTGTAGCTCTGAGGGATGGGTCCCCAGAGCAGGGCCGAGGTTCCTGCGCAGGTGCAGGCCATGGTGTGTGGGGTGCTCCCTGACAGCTGCTGGGGAGTGGAGGGGGAAAATGGGGAGCATGTGTAGAATGCCCTTTGGATACCAGGGAGGGGCCTTGTGAATGCGTACAGATCATCTTGAAGGTAGAACTGGAAGTTGAGAGGCTTCTTATGCATGTGGCTGAGCTGGCCCTGAAGGGGGCGGGGCCGCTCCTGTGTACAGGGACCTGGATGAGCTGTGTACAGGCACCAGCCCAGCACTGAAGGACCAAACCTGCCCCAGGGAGCTCACAACCTGTCACGCCAGCTCTTGTCTCCCACGCTCAGCATGCCCAAGCTCTGCTTAGTGATAGGCCCTCGCTTAGGACATAGTCTACCCAACTCTCCAAAGCAGGAAGGAAAAATCTCCTGCTGGCCGTCTGTCTGGTTGGCACCGTGCTTGAGTACAGGGGAGAGGTTTTATTGCCATCCCCAAGCAATAGCTTACCAAAGAGCAACACCTGCCCAAGCTCCATCAAAACTGCACTTGGCTGCAAACCCTTAATAGTGACCTCACATGCTCTACTGTCAACACACCAGCCAATCCAACGCTCACGATTCTAGGCATTTGCCAAGTTATTCTGCCTTAACACTGCTGAGGTTGCCACTAAAGTTTGGTATTACAGTGCAAACCCAGTGAATATGGGATAATACTATTTGGTATCTGGAGTACCAGTGTCTGCCCAGGTGAAGTCTAGCTTCAGATTGGTATTGTGTGACAAACATGAAATGTTTCTATTTTGGTGCTTCCCATAATAGTGCACAGATTATAGTGATTTGACAGGACTCTCCCATGCAGCTGGTGGGAGAGTCTGGAGATGCTGGGGGGTGTACCCCAGAGCCGCTGTGAGGTGGGCAGCAGGGCTAGGTGAGGGGGACAGGGCTAGTGCTGGGGGACTCTGGAGGCAGAATTGCACAAATTATGAATGTGCAAATAAAATTATACCAGTCTACCAAAACTTTGTGAATGGGTTTTCTGGTCCCTGGTATCAGAAAGATTGGGAACTACTGTGATAGGCTACTCCAGTGTTTCTCAAAGTGTGGGTCGTGGCCAACTTACAGGGGGGTCGCAGCTGCTGGCTTCCCTGTGGTCCTTTGCACCCTTCCCTGGGGATTCCAGAAGTGCACACTGGGCATGCTGTGGGAGGGGGTTTCAGCCCCAGAGCGTGGCGCTGGCGGCTTCCCTGCAATACAGTGCAGGAGGGAGGGAGTCAAGTGCAAGTGGGGCTTTTTTTTTTTTCCCCCTAAACTTTTGGGCAGGGGCGTATCTCTCAAACTCAATGAGCATTTTAGGGGGTCATGGTATCAAAGTTTGAGAACCCCTGGACTACTCAACTAGGCACTTCCCCCTTTTGCCCCTCCCCACTTGCTGCCTCTATCTGATGGGCAGCAAGCGTGAGGGGAGCAGGTGCCAGTGCAGGGGGGAGTTGGATTAAAAGCCGGTTCCTCCCTGGCACTATTGCTGCAGGGGCCCAGGCATGAGCTGGGAATCAGCTGATTCCTGGCTCATGCCTGATTTTTTCCCCCCTTCCCCCTGCTGAGCTTCAGCCTTTTAAATGTCTGAAGAGCTACTAAGCTCTTCAGACATTTAAAAGGCAGAGCCTCAGCAGGATTAGCTCCCAGGGCCAGGAGCCCGTCCCCTATCAATTAATTGACTAGTCAATAGTTAAGCACCATTTACCATCCTAGTTACAGAGGGACATGCAGCCCTGCTGTTTTTAGGCTAGTAATATTTGATTATTGCTGCTACTCAATCAGCTGAAATCAGACCCAGAACAGAGTTAAGTACAAAACACCATGAAAACATTTTTCCAGAGACTGGATTTTCTGGAACATGACCTCAACTGACCTGACTCAACCCTGCATCTTTGTCATGAATAGGAGGTGCAAGGGAGAGTTTGATGTAACCCTTTCCTTGCTCTTGAGATAAGCTAATCTTGAGTCTCTGTACCTGAGGGAGGGGGCTTTGGGCCTTCAGCCAATGAAAATGCAGATAAGGAATTTCAAAGGAGGGTTTCTTCCCTGCCCCCCTTTGGTTAGAGTCAAGCAGCAGTGTAAGCTGATTGGCTTGAGTTCTGGATTGATCCCTGACCTGTGCTCAGGCCTATAAATCAATGTCCAATGGATCCCTTCCAACCCTGGGTTCTGAGTACAGAGCAGTCCAGGCACATATACAAATAGAAGTTCCTCTGTTTGTAAGGCACAGGCCCTGGTTCAGGGTGGGGCAGCAAAACAAATGCAGTCCCACAGTCAGTAAGGCCTGGGCCCTGGTTCAGGGTGGGGTAGCAACACACACACACACACACAGTTCAACAGACAAGAGAGAGGAGGGGAGACTACCACCCGATATGGGGGATGGCAGGGGGGACATGGGCCCTTCTCCATCTCCTGGCTCAGGGCCCTAGCAGTGGCATCCCTGGCTGCCACTGGGGTCAGCGGGGTTCCAGCCTGCAACACAATGACACACACTAAGGCCGTGGTCACCAATCCGTCGATCGCGATTGACTGGTCAATTGGGAGGGCTCAACCAGTAGATCATGAGGCGGTTTGGGGGCCCCCCAATTGCCCCCACCCCCAAGAAGCCCCACTACCTACCTCCGAAAATGGTGGTAGTGTTGGCTTCCCGTGGGGTGGAGGGAAGTCTAGCAGCTGCGTGCCACTTTCAGGGTTTCCGGAAGTGCGCTGCCTGCTCCCCTCCTCCAGGTCTGTGGTGCGCCAGAAGGAGGTAGGAGTTCTGGAGGAAGGCATGTGCTGGGGTTTGGGGAGAGGAGTCCCAAAGGGAAGCGCATGCCGGGGCTCCCCTCTTCTGCGGGGGAGGAGGTAGGAGTCCCGGGGGGAAGCATGTGCCGGGGAGGGGGAAGGAGTCCCAGAGGGCAACGTGTGCTGGGGCTTTCCTCCTTGAGGAGGGGGGGAAGGAAGGGCGCGTGCTGAGGATTCCCTGCCCCCTGCTCCCACCGACACACTGCTCCCACCAGCACCCTGTCCCTTGCCTCCACTGACACCCTGTCCTCTGCCCCAGCACCCTATCCCGGTACCCCCTGGCACCCTTCCCCAATACCATGTCTCCTGCTCCCACCAGCACCCTGTCCCTTGCCTCCACTGACACCCTGTCCTCTGCCCCAGCACCCTATCCCGGTACCCCCTGGCACCCTTCCCCAATACCATGTCTCCTGCTCCCACCAGCACCCTGTCCCTTGCCTCCACTGACACCCTGTCCTCTGCCCCAGCACCCTATCCCGGTACCCCCTGGCACCCTTCCCCAATACCATGTCTCCTGCTCCCACCAGCACCCTGTCCCTTGCCTCCACTGACACCCTGTCCTCTGCCCCAGCACCCTATCCCGGTACCCCCTGGCACCCTTCCCCAATACCATGTCTCCTGCTCCCACCAGCACAGTTGGGGCCACATTAGTGAGGCTTGTGGGGAGTTTGGGGGAGTTTTTATTTTGTATCTCACTTGTATGGTCCCAGCTGACTTTTCTGTGGGTCAGTGACCCCCTGACTCAAAACAAGTTCCCTGCACTTCTCATAAATAGACAACGCAGAAACTTTTTGTGTTTGACATATTTTATTTAAAAATGAAGCCTGGCCAACAAACCCCAAATTGGGGGCCAAGCCCCCATCTGCCCACAGCATCATAACACTCCTGCACTCCCCCTTCCCCCAGACCCTAGATCTGAACCTATCATAC